CTTGAATTAGTGGTCTGCACCCCCAAAGGAGTAAAAAAAAAACAAAAAAAACACGCCCTCTTTTGTTCCGCTCGGAGCGGATAGCAAGCGCTCGCGGCGCTCTGGCTATGGACGCTATGGCATGCCACAAACCAGTAATTGGCCAGATGTTATAGCCCGGGCAGTTCAAACTCTTTCTGTGTCCTTCCTATATGGTTCACTAAATTTCATGTTAAAAATTAGGCCTAGCAGTGACCCAGAATAATGATGACGAGAGCACAACCGGAAATAAAGATTCTTGCGCGTCCCATCACCCATCTCAATAACTTTTTAAGCTGGCTGACCAGGCCTTGAAACTAACCTTGTTTACGCTTCAGCGTAGAATAGGCCTTGAGGAAACCTTTCACGGGATGGTATACGACACCTGTGCAGTTCCACTGACAATGTCGCCTGTGCGTCAGCAAATACACCACCCCTTTATTTAAGCACAGTCACTGTGATAACAACGTAACCTATTGACTCGCCTGCGCACTTGACAGCCTAGAGTCCAACCACGTGACAGTCTTGTGACACCAGACAAGATAGATCCCGACACGGAAACAGAAGAAGCATACTTTTTTGTGTGCTGAAACGTTAAGTTCAAGATTAATGGGGTCAGCAAATACATTTTACCTGCCTACTAAAAGCCCACGTAGGCCTTGATTGTTCGCTCACGGCTGGACACTTGTGTCTCCATTATGACGGCATGGGGTAGAAAGCGAGCGAGAACTGTCATTACGCAGCAAGTTTATGTATATCCATGAACATTTTGTAGATCGCATATGTGACTGATGAAGTCAGGCGATCGGACCACATTGCACCTGGAGCCGTGGAGTGCCGTAGCCTGGTGGCTAAGAGCATCGGATTCGTAGTTGGCGGGTAAAGCCGCAGGTTGCGGGTTCAAATCCAGCCTGGGGTCATGCACGATTGTGCGTGTGCCCTTGGGCAAGGCATTTTGTCACTCACCGCCTCTCTCCACCAAGGAGCAGTTGGGTACCTGTGAGGGCAGAGATGGTTATTGTGGTTGATTTAGGCGTGTTGCGCCGAAATGGCAGTATCGAGCTGTATACTCCACAGGGAACTGAGATGGTATCTGGAATGCTTGATGGGCCCAGTGAGCAGGGGTAATAATGGAATGGAATTGCACCTTGCAATTTTCCCGCATAAGTGCGCCATATAAATCTCTCTTCCTCCTCGGCCTCCTCCTCCTCAGACTAAAGACACTGTTGCTATACCTCGTGATTCGGGGCAAACTTTTACATAGCGACCACCATCTCTGGATTGGACTGGTTCCTTTGTGCCGTTCTTATCCGTTGAGAACAGCGTATTGGTGCAAGGCGTCTCTTTCGTAACTAAGCAAAAGCTTGCCCTGAATCACGAGGTATAGCAACATTGGTTTTAGTATGGAGAATTCAATTTGTTATGTTCACGTAACTTTGAAGAACTCAGTGTACCCGATTTTATTCAAATTTAATCGTAAGTGGCTTAATAAGCCATGCTGGATTACAGGGCTAGGGAACCCGTATGAACCAGTTAATTAGGGAATTAGCGCAGCAAGACAGGAGGGATCGTGTGCTTTTGTTCCATGCTTGTTGGCAAAGCGACGGTTGGTTGCAGTCCTGGTCTTAAAGCTTGCTTTCCTCATTGAGCGGGTTTACTGGGTGCAGGTTTCCGTTAGAGTCCAGTGAGGACTATTATAACCACCTTCTTAATCAACTGACGCAATGTTATTTAATAACAGCTTTAAGTAGGTGAGGGTTACTCAAGTCACCTTGAATCATGTTGCAGTTAGGGAACTGTGTTACTTAGTAAGGCAGTAGGGATTATTGTTGTAAAGTCTACCCTGTTGTGTTTATAATTGCGAAGGTTGCCTTTGCTTGTGTGGTCAAGACTCATCAGTTATAAGCCTACGGTATATTATTGACTTGAAGGTTACCTATTGACTTGAAGGTTACCTGGTCATTGAGGGTTACCTGGTCATTGAGGGTTACATGGTTAGTGAGGGTTACCTTGGTTATTGTGAGGGCTACCCTGGTTACTGTGAGGGTTAACCCGGTGTAGGTTGAGGATAACAAGCTTCCTAATTAATCACATATAGTGGCGCGGTTGTCCACAGTGCAGTTGACCACATAGGACTACCTACCCGTGAGGATCATTTTTACATAATTAATTGCATTTGTGTGTAAACTATAACTGAAGCTCTGATATTTAATAAACCAATCGTATATTTGCATTTGAAATCACTGGTCAACGTGAGATTTAGGCCAGTCTTTTGTTACTTGTATTGGCATTTATTGTAATCTTTACTGACACAGGAATCAATTACTTAATCACCGAGCGGTGGTAGACTTAGGCACAGTCCACCGTTCCTTAACTGATACCCCCCCTTGCGTTTGGGTAGCCGCCCATTGTTGCGTCAGGTTAAATAAATATATTTGTGGGGTTAGGCCAGGTCGATTCCATCTCCGATCAGGTCAGTCTGCTGGTCTGCCACAAAAGGAGTCAGTTGTCCCGCTACAAATGGTGTCAGAAGTGGGATGCTCTGTGATTTTGTTGTATTTGCCAATAAAGAGTAACATTTTTGTCATTTTGTTGTGAAGTGGACGTGCCTCACAGAGGTGAACAGTGAGGATAATTGTAACGAGGTAGGTGGGTTATGCTTACCTGGGTTTTTACTGCCTTGTGCATTGTGTTCGTTGTTGGGTTGACAAAATTGGTGGGGATTCTGTTAAGGATTTGAGAAGAGTTGCAATTCTTTCGTCATACTGCAGGACAGCAGCCAGCAATCCTGTTAGGAATTCACTGGGTGGTAGTAGTTACACAAGGGTGTAAAATTCTGGAGGTTTGGGAATGGGAGTTCCGCGGCCTGAGTTTGCCTGTGAGTTACCGGTATCGCCAATTGGCCAGTGGCCGAGTGTAAAGAGTCTAGTTGAGACCGAGATTCCTGTTCAGGAGGGAACTCCAATATGAGCATGGTTATTAAAGGACAGTGGTGTTGGCCCGATGGGGAGTGACAAGGGTTCTGTCCTAGACGAGCTGAACCGTTGAAGACTGGAGGTTCAGTGGTTAAAATGGGAGAGGGACCGTTTGTCCACAGAGCCTGTCAAACTTGGGTACACAGCCTAAAACGGTGAGTGAGGGTACCCCTAAGAGTAGGGATACATCTCTGATCGATGTTGATTCTGAGATCAGCTGGAAGCTGCCCAAGGATAGCTCCAGGTATGCACTGTAAGGCAAGAGAGCGTTCCAGTTTTGGCACATCGCCTGAATTGGTTTTAAAGGAAGTGCGAAGGCAAACAGAGAGTACGCCTGTGAGGCCTATTCCCGCGGGTAGTCCTAGCACCAACCCTTTTTAGAACCATGAGGTTCATAATTCAAGTGAGAATTTCTGGTCAGCTCATTAGCATTAAAAGTGCCCCCCAGCATCTTTTGAAAAAAGGAGATTGTTTGGCCCCCAAAATGGTGAGATTGTGTAAATCGTTGCCAGGATCAACTGCCTGGGTCTTTGAGCTTTCCTATGAAAGCAGAATGGCTAAAAACTACTGTTGAAAAATGGTCCTAAGTGCCTAGGAAGGTTTAGGGTTGCCACTTGAAAAATGGTTGCAATCAGACATTGGAAAAATCATTTGCGGGGGTGATTTACTTTTGTGGGAATAATTAAAAATTAATTGGTTAACCCACAAAAGTTGAAAAGAAATTGAAAGATTAGGGACCAGACAATTATTTCATTTGTGATTCAGAAATCTCAGGGAGGTTGGTACGCATGTTATTAGGCCCTGAATAATGCTGATTTTACACTGTTTTCAATGGGTCTTGAATTAGTGGACTGTGCCCTACAATGCAAGTACGGGGGACGGAAATGAAAGAAAACAGTAAAGGCGCCCTCTACAAACAGTATGAAGCAAAGGGCGACAGCACACGACGCATCGCGTCTTCAGTCGTGTCGTGCCTCACGTCGTGCTTTAGGCGACGCAATAGGCGATGCGATGCAAGACACGACGTACGACGCGACGCATGACGGAACGACGGGACGGGCGACAGAAGGGGCGACGTTTAGGCGGGAAAAAATGCAACATGGAAAGGACCTAAGACTGCACGACGCGACGGGCGAGGGCACGACGCGACGCGTCGTGCGTCTACAAACGTAATGGAAAGAGGGCGACGGTGCGATGGGGCGGCACGACGCAAGGGAGCCGTCGTGCTGTGTAGTTGCGTCGCCTGGATGGAGGCTAAAGAGAGAGAGAAATGTTTGTCGTGAATAGTACACCATAGGGAAAAGCAGTTCCTGAGGGTCTATAACTTTACTTCGCTGCCGACGCACTTTTACCTTTGACGATACTACTTTACTGAACTCTTCGAATTTCCCAAACCCCCTCACAAAGGTTTGTCCTTTTTAAAGTAAAAGCAAGGAAAACGAATCCAAAAGAAAGGCTAAATATTTTGTTGTTTTGTTTATTTTTCTTTTTTATCACCAAGGCAAGCTGTTATAGTAATTAAGTGACAATTTACTAGAGGCAATAACATTTTCTAGACAGCACTGTGCAAAAGATGTAATACAGATGTGCATAGGGTCATTCAAACATTTTCCTAAATCACCCTGTGCTATATTGACATGGTCTCAAGTTTATGTGTCGATGCGGTCCCGTCAATTACCGGTGATTAGACTATTTCAGAATAGGGACTCCATCAGTGCCAGGGTAAAAAGTAGGTAGCGTGCTTATTAATGTTTGTAAGAAAGACTCTCTATGCTCTACGCTGAAGTTGCGTGTACGAGCCAACAGCTCTGAACCTGATTATGATGGATATGCATTGCTGGAAACGTCAATAACAAGCAAAATTCGTGCATTTGATTTAGGTGGGATGAGGCTAAACGCATTGATCATTGCAGTAGTGATCAGTGATCAATACTTACCATCAGCAATCATATCGTCGCAAAATTTTAAAATCCATGCTTTGATTTAAGCTGACAACATTCAGAATGAAATCTCTTTTTTTTTAATAAGAGGTGCCAAATTTTTAACAAATCATACTTTGGTTTAAGCCGACGGAATTCAGAATGAAATTTCTTTTTCTAAGCAGAGGTGTTTGTTCTTTATTCCAAATTAGAATCACATTTTCTTTGGGATTCCAGCATTGATGTCGTCTTCGATGCCACACTCGTCATCCCCGCGCTTGATCTTGAAGTAACCTAACAGTAAATCGAGATATCACATTTTGAATAATTAATAATATAAAATGCAAGAGCACCGTTTAAAAAAGTAAATACTAGTACATAACATAATTCATATCCTGAAATGCAGGTTCATATTTCACAACGTTTACAATTTTGTTTTGCAAGAGATCACGTCATGATTTAGTACACGAATGAACTCTCCCTGATACATTTTTTCTGAACGGAAGCAGCTCGTGCATGTGGAACATGATTACAGGTTATCCAGTTTCAAACGGAAAATTTTACTCCCATCAATTTGGTCTCTCTCCTAAAAGTACGTGACTAGCATTTACTAGGTGTGCACAGTGCAGCTGTATGACACCGTTTTTCAATGTGACAAAACTAGCTACACGTCTGCAGTAAGTAATTTTGCAGGGTTGGTTCATGGGTTTCAACCCGATTCCACAAAGTCTGCCCTGTCTTAAGACTATGAAATGACATTGCTCGAGAAAGGCAAAACCGGTGAAGTCATAACCAAAAACAGTTACTTTTTACTCACCTTTGTCTCCCCAGTCTGGGTTCCACGAGTTGGCAACCAGCCAGTAGTCAACACCGCCCTCAGTGCCCCATCCAAGGATCTTCACGGCGTGTCCTCCGAGCACGGATCCCGTTTTGTGTTGGTAAACGCCTGTCGTTTATTAAGCATAAATATATTCATTTTAAAATTCACATCTGCTATTTAACCGTTACAAATGCCGTTCCTTAAGTTCTTAAGTGTTGGTGATTTCAATTCCTAAAAAGGGTCCTGGAGAGAGGCATTCCCAATCCAATTAATATTCCCAGCCCCTCCTGGATACGCCACTAGTTCTTACCGGATCTGTAGGTGGGGAAGTCGGCGTAAACGGTGAAGTCTGCCTCCACAGGTCCGTTCATCATTATCTCTTTCTGTATCTGCTTGACTTTTGAATGGACACTGTAAACGCTCCCTCCTACGAAAGAGAATCATAAAACAACTTTGTATAAAGCACGAGTGTGAAGAGATGGCTAATATACCGTACGCTCTGCACTAAAAGGTTTACCATAATGGAAAGGCAACTTTCACAAGGATCTAGGCGAGAACTCGCTACAAAAAACATCTGTTTGATCGAGAAAAGAAATGAAAGGAAATTGGAAAAAAAACATGTTCTGTTTAAACGGTGTTAAACTAGGGAGAAATTTCTGGGGCTATATCGAGGGGTCAGTGAAAGCAAATTAACTGTGACACCTAGGTTTGTGTACATGTACATATATGGGGCTGGAGACACATGCCTCTCCCTTCCCCCAATAATTGCGCCACTGTGTTCAAAGCCGCTTTGCTTTACCCACCAAAGTGCCGGTCCTTGTCGAAGGTGACGTTGTAGCCCGTCCGGCAGGTGTGGTGGCATGGTGGAGTTGGGACCTCCGGTCCGCAGGGCTTCAGGTGACCGGGCTCGTGGTGATCACAGCCCGGAATGGAGTAGGGCTGGCAGCCGCTCTTGCTGTTGTACAGGCCTCCGCTGACAAGACCATGGGTCTTCCAGAACTCCCAGGCTGCGTTTGGGAATCCCCCAGCGCATCTTGAAACAAGCACAGCATAGAAAAAAGAATGAGTACTGAGGCTTGCCATTCTCTGGTAAAACAACATCATGCCTCGCTCGCACATTTTGAATCCCTGCTCAATTTGCATCCAAAATTGTAGGGATCACGTCCTTTTCGATTCATATTGGTCGACTTAAGTTTCCGAAAACAGCGTGCAGTTCTTTCGCTGATAAGCATTTTTGGCAATTCCATTTGCACGCTGACGATCTCGCGAGTACATGGGAGTTTGCGAGAAAAAACGAGAACACAGTAGTGTCCCTTCAACCCGCCAAGAAATCCGTTGCTTCATTCGTGGGTCGAAATGGTTTGATGAGTAGATAGTTGACGTTTTTCACTATCAATAAAGTTATGTTTCGGCGATGATCGACAATTTCCTAACGATTTATTTGGACGCAAACTTGCTTAGTGTTTTTCACGAAAATCGCAGGCCTCCTCTTTTTTAAGTGCACCTGACTGTTTTGCAATAACTGAATAAAATTGAGACTTACAATTCTTCACTAAAAGGATTGAACATCCGTTTAATACCAACATTTTTGCTGCCGGGCCAATCAAAAGTTATATGCACTACTCACTCAGCAATTCCGGCAATTTTATATTTTTGCAAGACGAATGGTAAGTCCGGTTCCCCATTAAACGATCAACATTCACTAGGTTTCCTTTGATGCAAAGTCTGGGTTCCCGATTTTGGTCAGACACATTTACGCGTATCTCTGATACGCCAGTATTAGAGAGAATATGTCAATCAACCAATCGCAGATAGTCTTTCACGAAACACATACGGCAGTGTTTTCGGTTAATCTCACGAAGTCTAAACCTGCGATAACGAAATATATTGGGTGCACCTGACTGTTTTGCAACGACTTGAAAAGTAAAAACTTATTGTTTGGCTGGATATAAGACATATATCTATCTTTCTGCTGTCAAGAAAATTCTCCCGGCCCAGGTTTGGATCCACTAAAACCAGGCTTTTTCTGTACCCCTCATTTTTGCACACGAAAGCCTACGTTTTACGGCTAATATCCTTCAAAAGAGACTGCGAATATTTGTATTTTTTACAAGGGACATGCGACTGATATCTTAACTGTTCATTTGTGTAGAGCTATTCCATTCTTAAAGGTGATACAAGGTGGTATACAATTTTGAAATGTCCACTACATAGCTCATTACATATGCATGATTCAGACAGCCTGGCGTGCATACGTAGCAAATGAAAGGAGCAGCTTTTACGGGTGCCGTGCGCTGTCCTCGTCTCGGTCTCCCGCTTTTCTTGGTTTCCACATCCGACTTTGAAGTATTCAGCTCAATGAAAAGTCGTGTTTTGCTGGACAAGCATTGAAAATGTATTTTAGTGACTGGAACACAGAAAGAGTTGTATTAATTTCGAATATGACAGAAAGACAAGCGGTTTCAATGTCAAAAATGAAGCATAAGACAGGAACGCTGGGAGTAGCGTAACTACATGTACCTTCGATGATTGAAATACATAAAAACGTCATGCCTAACACCGTCTTTTAACGTCGTTAAGTCCTCTTCTATAAAAATCAGGTATTTTTCTATCGCATTTTTATCACCACCTTCGAATCACGGCCTACATCGTCAAATAAAGACTTCTTACACCAGTTTCAGACAGGCGTTCTACAGTCGCACCGAACGCGCAGACTTTTGCTTTCAGACAGACGAACTTAATGCGTAGACTTGCATGGGGTTTTGCCCATGAAAATAGCGAAGTCTGGAACCAAGTCATTCTGGTGTCGTTCCAGCGCCTCCAAGTGTCGATCTTTCGCCTGCTAGCACGCCTTGTTGCTCCTAATTGCTCTAGACGTCGAACTTTTGCCATTCATCCAAAATTAACTTTAAATTTGGCTCGACGCGACTGTATAAGAACGCCTGTCTGAAACTGGTGCAATTACCCATTGCCACAGGACTCGCAGCAGGAATTCAGCTCCTCGGCAGAAATGTTCACCTGGACGTTGTTGTGAATGCACTCACGATCCGACATGGCCTCCACCGCACCAAAAGCCTAATACAAGTAATAGAAAAACATGCTTGAAATACATGGAACAAGTGGACAGAAAAGGTGAGCACACGAGATTAATTAAGACGATCTGTTAGTGTCAGTTGCTTGAAATAACTTGCCACTTTTGGATTTGTTTTAGCAATTAATACCATTGTTATTAATACCGTCTGCATCATTGCGGCTTTCTTTACCATTGCAAATAGTGCACCCAAGGTAGGAGGGGCTCGGGGCTTAAATCCCGAGTACATGCACAGGCATCTGAAACCATTAGCTCTGTTGTAATCGTAAATCGTAGTCCCCTGTGGCACAAGGGGGGGGCTTGAGCACCATGAGCTATTTTGGGGTTAATTCCAGTTTGTGTCCAAGCAACAAATCCTAGGTGCAGCACTGGCCGTTGCAGAAGACCGGTGCTTACAAAAGACAAGCAGATTTCTGCACATGCAGTGAAAAAACGGAGTCACGTACGCAGACCCGAGTGAATAGTACAAGTAAAATAGAAAAAACTAATGTCAACATGACGTTATAGAGGTAAAGTGCATGACTGGTACGCGCAACAAATTCAAGCCAAACATTCACTAAGCTTGCTTCATAATTAAATGTGCGTGAGAAAGTGTAGATTAAGTTCTTTGTTTTCATGTATTACTCAATAACTTTTGGTAACCTGATAGACATGGACATTGTGTGGCCGAAAAACGTTGGTTCCTTTTTATTTACATCCTGAGGGATTCTTTCAAAGGGATCAGGTCAAGTCGGACCCAAACCAACTCGGACCCATTCCAACTCGGACACAATACTAATTCGGACCCACGACCATTTCGGACCCACAACCAACTCGGACCCACGCCAACTCGAAACCCTTTCAAAGGTCTTAAACTTAAATGCGGCCCTATAGCGACTTGAGACTCATTTTATTAAATTGAGAGAGTGACTCCAAAAAACATACCCAACAAGAGCCGCAGGCTGCCTGGTCCCTGATCAGCGAAATAGTTGTGCATTTCGGCCACTTCTGGCGCGCGTCGAACGTCATGGGGATGTCACTGACGTCCTCGTGGAAGTACAGGGGCAGCCTCTTCTCCACCGGAAGCGGGTACTTCACTCCTAGACGAGCGATCACAGACTCCAGGGTTTCGCCTAAAAAATTGGGACCAGCCTGGAGCCAAAAACACAAGAAAATAACGAGGAAAATATTGCTGTATTTGTAATGTTCAGGCCTAAACTCGCTTTCCGGTATTTTTTGTTGTCGGTTTTTCCAGCGCAAATTTTTCTGTAGGAAGAACTGAATACTGTATACACTGATTCTTGTGTAAAGAGATTTTGAGATCATTTTTATAAATAAATGAAGAAAATTCGGCATGGAACAGTCGTCTGCTGTACCTTCCACGTGGTATCCATGGAGTTTATGCGTTGGATAATTTCTGCAGAGTACTCCTGAAAGTCGATGCTGGCCGATGTCAGGGCCAGGAAACTGACTAGGAACACCACTGCGAAGCGCATCTTGGCTGCTGAAACGAAACCCAAAAAGAGACAAATCCAGTGACGGAATTTGTATGCACTGAACTTGGAGCCAAAACAAAGCTGGTCAATTAAAACAATAAGCCCTAGACAGTCTTTGGCCAGCGGTCGTTCATTCAGGCAAATTCGTGTCCGATACATAGCCCGATGCACGCCAGCATATAGCCACTATAGGTTACAGTTAGGGCACAATGATTAGACACCGAATTGTGGTCACTCTTTTTTCACTAAAATGCTAAAAATTAGGCCTAGCAGTGGTCCAGAATAATGATGACGTGAGCACAACCGTACATAATGAATCTTTCGCGTGAGATCACTTCTTAACAGTAACTCTTAACGGTAACTCATCTCAATAACTTCTTAAGCTGACTGATCAGGCCCTAAAACTAACCTTGTTGAGGCTTCAGCGTACAGTAGGCCTAGAGGAAACCTTTCACGGGATCGTATGAGACACCTGTGCAGTTCCACTGACCGCCTGACTTGTGCGTGAGCAAACACACACCCCCTTGATTTAAGCGCAGTCAGTGCGATAAGAATAATGTAACCCATAACACTCGGCTGCACTCGTGACAGGTTAGAGTCCAACCACGTGACGGTCTTGTGACACAGGACAAGATAGATCCTGGCACAGAAACAGAAGAAGCATACTTTTTGTGTGCCTAAGCTTAAAGTTCAAACTTAATGGGGTCAGCAAATACGTTTTGCCTGCCGGATATAAAAGCGCATGTAAGCCTAGTTTGTTCGATCGCTCACAGCTGAAAACTTGTCTGACATAATGCCCAAACAATGAAAATCTTGTTGATAGTAAAGATTTCCACCGCAACTAATTTCCTGGTTAACGTAAGTAAACTTTATATTGTACAGGAAATATTCAGGTAAAAAATCCGATCTCCTGACAAGTCAAACCAACAGCACTTTTATGATGTACCCCAGGGTGAAGCTGATAGCCTGTACTCCATACTTCGGCTTGGTACCTGCAGTATAATGTCCGACAAAAATCAAAATAACCTGAAGCGATAGCTTGTGTGTTGGATAACATCCATGCAGGTTCATCCCCCTGCATGCCTTTTGGGCACTTAACACCAATATGGCCAGCATCATCCTTTTTACCGTACGATCTCTCACACGTCTATAGAATAAAATCTTTCGCGAGCACTGCGACGCGACGCCAATTTTCTAACATTTTAGAATATCCGAGGGTTCTCGACAACTCTTGGACGGAGGGTACTTGGTCACAGACAGAAGTACATTGTTATAATTATCATGATTTCGAATCGATTTGACTCAACCATTACAGACACAGAAAATATTAATGCCTTTCCATTCATACCAAGTTTAAAATAAGTGTGGTCCGAGTGTCATCCGTTGCCCAGAGGGGCGCGGCGCCACACCTTTGCAAGCAAGCATCTATTATGAACCCCTGACTGGACCAAGAGAGGGCCCGATTTTCCTAGCAACACAGACTCCTATGGTGGGAACTGCACTACGCTTACTCACGAAGCCAGACTAAGAACCGCACGCATTACGGTCGCATTGCTACCACCAAAAGGTTCACCAGTAGCATAGTTCTTTTCAACTGATGAGGGGATGGCTCCCCACAAGGCAGACAGGGTAGACTACCGCGGTTACCTAGAAGAGCGCACTGAAAGCCGGCTCTTCTGTAGTTGTACCTAAGTCTTACTTTATTTTCGTGTGTATTCCACACTTATGATTTATTTTGTATTGATGCGTTTTTTAGGGGGGTGACTGTCTCTGGGGTTTTTTTTTAATTCTTTGAAAGTCGTATTTTGTCTTGAGATCGTCTTGTTTCTTTTGCTTGTTCCTACTTTTATTACACGTACACGTTATGTTTGTTATGTTTAATTGTGTTTCTTTTACCTTGTAGCAGGATCCTGTGGAAGAGCACTTTGAAGTGAACAGGCTACCCTGGTTAAATATACCAATAATAAATACATGATGAATAAATTTATGCATCCCTTAAAAGCCGTGGGAGTGGGAAATGAAGAAAAATCTTGGGCACTGCGACAAAGGGTGTAAGGCATAAACTTTGAGACATTCTAATTCGTTAAAATTATAAAAATGAAGAAGATGCAAATGTGATAGAATAAAACAACAAAATACTTAAGAAATATTAGGGACGGCAAGTTTATCAGTGTGCTTTTGAAAACGGCCAGACCAGATTTGACAACAGTAATCAAAATGAGGTAAAATAAAGGTATTATAGAGACGTTTGAGAGACTGAATAGGTAGGTATGGTTTGACACGTCGAAACATACCAAGCTTTGCCTGAACTCTACTCACAACTTAATCAACATGTTAAGACTATATACTTGGTGTCAATAATAACACCAAGACGTTTTGTTTTGACGACCCGGTTGCGTGATGATTAACCTCTACCTTTAAGAGATACCGCGCCTAATTTGTGTTTGGATCCGATAAGTTAATCTAGTCTGGCGACGTCCAAAAGCCCTAGGAACCTAAACACCACAACGATATAAAATGGGATCACGTGGTCCTTTATTTTAGCGACACCTTTAAAGCTCTTCTGGGCGTGTTGTGGCATGTGCTGCACCAGGATTGCGCCTATACCTTTACAAGGGAAAAACCAGATACAAGCGAAAAATGTGGACTCGATCATCTGCACGATTACCCTAAAGGTTTTGAAATGACTTACCGGTATAAGTTTACATGTATGCAGCGTAGGAAAATAGGTGATCTTTTTTACGTTTTGGCTCTAGACACCTACATGTATAATCGCTGCATTGGTAAGCCCTCATGGTCTTATGCTCTGCCCTAACACGCTAACTCCGCTAACCTGAAGTAAGCTGCTTCAAATAACTCTCCTCGAACAGAAAATTCAGAGGGGGTTAGGGGGAATAGGGGAGGGGGAGATGAAGCAGAGGAGAGTCAAGCAACTTTTTGGTGTGTGAGCGTATAGTGCTTTTGTTTTATGGCACGCCTTTGGTATTTTCGTATAAAGCCCTAATATTTGCCGTAGGCCTACAATTTTTCTTTTCCGCAAAGTGCCTACTGTATTTATTGGATAATTCAGCTCTGCGCTTGATCATTCCCAAAAATGATCTGTGACGGTCCCAAAGAAACGTTGATCTTCTCCCTAAAACAATCGTCAAAAATTGTTTGGGGCTACAGACTGATGACTAGAATGTTCTCTTTTCAAAAGTGCGACCCTGCGTTGCGGAGACGATCTCGATTACGTAAAAGGTAGACACAACAGGAGGGCGCTATTTGGTTTCGGTAAAATCTTTTGCGTTTACTTCAAAGCTCAGTCGGAAAAAACGCCCGAAATATTAACTTAATGACCAGAGTCAGTGAAGCCATATAATAAAATGGAGCTGGGGGGGGGCTTTTCCACAAGGTCCCTATTTGGTGGGTAGTCCTGGGGCCAAGGGTACGGAGGTAGTCTGGTAGCCTAGCCCTAGTTTAGGGCTACCCCAGTATATACACGACAGGTTGGTGAGTTTATGCCTGCCACTGGTCAGGAGTGTCCAATCCTAGCTACTGTCTAAGCTTTAACGATGACTTGCCAACAGAAGGTATCCGAAGCTTTTTAGGGGGCACTCCCATCCATTCAGTCCCTGCAGCTGACAAACTGGCTGTGCTGGGGAAGCTCAACGCTTGCGCGAGTCACAACCGTGCCACTAATTACTCAAATGCCACAAGAAAGCTTGAAACAGTCAATAGGAACTCAACTGGGGAATTGTTCCCCGGGGGGGGAAGAGATTTCGTTGGCCTTGTTAAACATCCACTCATCCGTTTTTTTGTTTTTTCTTTTGTTTTGTTGTTTTAAGTTGGGGGCACCTGGGGACACTGGGAATTCGTGGGGGCACGTGGCTACGCCCCTTATTCTGGGTCCCAGTACTATCTGCTTGGTGCAGGACTGGGCCTACGTACCGACTTGCAAAAGGACACGAGAGATATTGTTACCACCAAAGCTTTGCCTTACCCTGGCTCCTCAACTGACAAGTTATCTTGTATGCCCCATTTGCAGATTCCTAGTAGTCGCACCAAACGCAAGACTCCCAGTTGCGCCTCAAGAAACTGGGATGTAACTAAAATCCGCTTCAAATCTGGCGTCTATTCCTGGCCTGACCTCCACCCTAAATACTGCCCAGCGCAGATTCTAGAACTGAATTTAGATAAGAATGTGAAGGGGGCTTGGAGGAGGTTGAAAGTACCAATCCAGTACTGGTACCAGTACAGGTCCGGTAAAAAAAAAACTGACTGGCTTAACGACCAGGAGGGCAAAGTTAAAGCTGCCTCAAACGTCCCCTGCACGCTCTGCGTTAAGCAAGTAGCACTGCTTCAAGTCGAAGCCTAATTACGAGAAATTGGAACACTGAAGGATAGCTGGTGGAACAAGGCAGATGGACTTAAAAACTGGCAAAGGGGAACCTCTCACAGGGAGCATTCTCTGCACTCAAAGTGCTCTATGAACCAAAAACAAACACAGTTGAACCGATCAAAAGTGCACACGGCCGTCACCTGCTCACAGACTTTCTATCACAGTGGAACTAGCATTTTCAGTAGCTTTTTAACCAGACAAGCAACTTCTTGAGAGGATGAGGCCACCGATCACCTTCATAGCCGTCCCACATGACAACCTTCTGGGGCGTTCATGTGCAGTTGACGGTATCTTGTAGACATGCTCCTCTAATTTTTCGACCGCTGTTGGAATAGACGGGGCTGCCTCAGAATTCCAGAGACACGCTAATAGTAACCATCTATACAAAGGGGATAAGGGAAAGCAGTGTGGCGGCTCCATATTGTCAAGTACAGGTAAAATTCTAACAAAGATCCCGCTAAACCGACTCAGGATTATATCCAAGAGCATATATACTCCCAGTCAATACATCTTCAGAGTTGGATGCTTAACGACATCACCTCCTTCTTCGGGGCAGCTACAAAATAAAAACAGTGAAAAGGCACTGGGAACAGAACCAGATGTGCATATTGGTGTATATCTCAGAAATCTTTGACAAATGCCGTCAATCGGGAGACACTATGAAGGGTGCTCAGAGTACACAGAGAGTACACGTCTCTCACAGACGCCAATGAATATCTTGTCCTGTACAAGAGTCATATCGGAAGCTGACTGCTGTGCAGCATAGGTATCCGAGATAGATCATGCACGTAAGTTGGCAAAGCAAAATTCTCTTCAAACAAGTACTGGAGAAAGCCGGTGTAGACAGCTGAGCTGGCCACACAAAGTGTACATCCAACAACAGTCCGACTGAGCCAATCTCCTACAGAGAGCTGGCAGAGGGCAAACACAATCACAGAGGGCAAAAAGCTCAGATACAAAGATGTTCTGAAGTGTAATTTGGAAGCAAATGGTCAATGTAGATGTATGGGACCCGGTAGCAGACAGGCAGAGCTGGCATAAAACTTACCAAACTGTAGAGAGAAGACGTCTGGACCTATACACCAAGGCACATGATAATGCAGACGCCATCAACAGGCAGTCATCAGTGTCACCACAGTATAGTGCCGCAAGTGCAACACGGTGTTCCATGCTGGCCTGGCTGCTTATCTCAGGACAAACGAATGCCTACAAAACTAAAACTCTCTGCTTCAGTAAACACTAGATCGATGGCCTGTCGAAGCCAGTAGCACAGGGGGGGGATATTCAGGGCATGTGTGGTCTGCAATATCCAGCCAGAAATGAGACCGAGGGGTACCCCCAACTTGCCCATTCGCTATACACACACAAGGTGTATATATCCCCCAAGATGTCTGAAAAGAATTCCTCAGATTCCAGAGAGACAATGACCAACACAAAGCAGGGGGTTCTCTCTGTCTCTCTGGGCTAGATTATTCAATAGGCAGACAATTTCCGATCTATTGAAATTTTTAAACTCTGTTCATAGCTTGTAATGAAATACAGCTGACTCCAACATCAATAGCTTGCCATTACAAGAACACATCTAGCTTTGACAGTAAATCACATTTGAATTTAATACTTAGCTGACGGCACTTCAGTGAGACAGACTCACACGTTTATTCACAACTACATGAAAACTTCACCACTGCTACGTCACTTAGCAGTGAAGAGTTTTTTTTAAGGTATTCTTTTCAGGAAAGTCATTTGAATACCACTGACAAGGAGGGAAAGTACATTTGAACCATATTATCACAAGGGAATTGTCATCTTCCGTTGTGGTCAACCATTAACTGTCATCTTACAGTGGTCAGCTGTGAACAACTCTATCAAAGTCAGGAATAGGTCTGTTTTTTTTAACGGACTGTGAAATCTTTAGATTTTCTGTTTCTCTACATAGTACATGTAAATGCCATTGTACTTTACAATCAGTAACCGATTCACAATACATGTTCCAAAATCTCCTCCGAAAATTTGGAAAAAGTACATAATACCGGCGATTCACAATAGTGCGCCACCAAGAGTCTGCAACGCGTTGGCCAATCACAATGCGTGAAATCTGTTGACCCAAAGCATGTTTGGAAAGGGTCGACAAATTTCGCGCATTGCGATTGGCCAACGCATTGCAGACTCATGGGGGTGCACTGGTGTGAATCGTCCGTATTTAATGGGTCATCTCTCAATTACTAGTTGCCCAACACAGAGCTGTAGTAGGAAACTTGTAAATGCATGTACACATGTAATTTAGGGGTCATCCATTTTTGTCATCATTTTCACAAGCATACAAAGCGTACTCTTTTCCCTTGGCCCCCCTCGCCCACTAAAAGAGTACAGAATAAAATGATGAATTCTTTGTGGTGCCTCAGGATCCATTCTAACTCACAATGTACGGCTGTTAATGTGCAGCAGACGATCAGAGAATAGTGGCAGGAGGAAAAACAACGTCCATGACAGGCCTCGACATTCACGGATTTGCGATTGCCTGGGACAAATTTCTTCTCTCGCTTCGGGCAAGTAAAAATTAAGGACAAATTGCCCCACTGACAGGTACTTTTTTCTTAAAATAAAAGTGTCCATTTTTTGTGGCCAAGAATAGCAGTCAGCGAATTTACCTTTGATTTGATTTTGTTCTTCTTCACAAAAGCATATAAAAAGTGGTAAAAAGTATACAGTTATTTGGTTATAATGATTTTTTCCATCATTACGTACATGCACAAACTTACATGTGTTAAGCACGCTGTGCTTTTAGCAGGGCACCTTTCCACACAAGGGAAAATGCATACATAAATAAACTTTAAAATACACTTCTGTCTGGATACCAAACCTCATTGCACGCACAGCACACTTAGCTTTTAGGGAAGCTCGAAGACTGTTTTACAAGTGGCTGTGATTTCAACATTAGTGAATTCTGCCTGGTGCCCGTGTGTGAACTTTTTTCATATATGACACCAAGCAAAATCGTCGAATGGTTAAAAAATAGCCATTGCCTGGAGTCCTGCGCACTCTCTACTCACACGCAATATAATAGTTGGGGGTGATAGTTGGCCAGTCTATGATAATCGTCATTTTTAACATGTTTCTAAAGCGTACGCAACCAATTCACCCCCTCCCACCCAGCGTATCGTTTGTACACTCATGAAAATAAAGACAAAAATGGATGACCTCTAACATACTCTACTCAGTGACTGAGTATTACCAATTTTTCTGACTTATTCCCCATTTTGATGGAGCATGTCACATGAAACAGATACTTTTCTTGGGGTTATTTTTGCACACTTTTAACAATCATCACATTATATAAATCAAAAAAGAATCCTTGATTCAGCAAACAGTACACCAAGCTGGTATAAAAGAAAAACCCTCAAGCAGTGACAAATAATACATTATCTTCAACCATGTTTTTGTTTAAGTTAGTACACTCAAATTTTTACGGCGCTACTCGGGGGTCGTCAATGTTCTTCCATTGGTTCTTTTTCTTCTGGCGCCAGCTTAATCATGTCATCTATTCTCAGGATGGTGATGGCCGCCTCAGTGGCGAATTTCAGACACTTGATCTTGCAGATGCCCGGCTCAAAGACACCTGCCTTCTTGTTGTCGCGGACGGTGCCCTCCACTAGGTCCAAGCCAACCCTGGAGGGGGAAAGAAAGTCAATTATCCAGGATCAGGAGACGGTCACTTAAATTATGGTGTCATCACACTGTTGCTTAGGGTAAGACTGGGCTACAGTTGACCACTGGACAATTGCTTTCATAACTATGCACACATGTAATAGAGTCACTTGCAAATGACCCTAACCAACTCATCACCACTTTACCACTCTATAATGGACTGCAACTCTCATGGCATTCATGGCCAATGACATCGCGTACATTGCATTGTTCCCTCTGTACCAATAAATGCAACCATGCTCTAGGACCTGGTTCTGAAAGGTCAACTAGTGTAGGCCATCCATCATTCAGACAGGTGTTCATCTTCTCTCCAAGATGGTGTGCCAGACCATCACAAGTTGCTCAGCTCCCCAGCTAAAGCCAGTGCCCAGTTTCTCTTATATTCCAGGGTGGTGAGAGGCAAATCAGAGGGAGGCAGCTTGCTCCAGGACACAGTATGCAGCTAACATTGCATTTGAACCCTTTACGTTCGGGTCAAACTCTAAACACAAGGAGCAGACACTCACATACCAACAAAATTGCACTCAAAATCAGCCTGGAGTTACCATGCCAAGAAAATTTTCCCATCAAAGCCCTTGACATCATCTGAGACCACAGGCACATTATCACAATACTCAAATGCTCATTTTGTGTTCTGGGTTTCCAATAACAGCAAATCAATGTCCCACATGGACATCTCATCAACTAGAGAGACCTCAGCAAGAGCCAAGGTAGTGCCTGCGAGTGTGACCTACTCTGAATTCCACTCGCCCCCCCCAAAAAAAGAAAACCCTCCATAAAATCCACTAAATGAAAAGTAGTGACTTGTCGCAAAACAAAGTCAACAACGCGGTTGTATTGACAAACACATATGCCCCGCCACGACTGCATGAAATCCCCTAAACATGCCATTGTTCATTTGAGTTTTTGACCTTGAAACTTAATATTTTGCATCCAAATTAAATAGGCTTCTTGGGACCACTGATTACAACTTACACACCAAATTTGAAGTCCACAGGACATGTACGGAAATTCCC